GCATAGTGCCTAAGGCACTTGACTGCTAACCAGAAGGCTGGCAGTTCAAACCCACCAGCCACTCCATGGAAGGAAGGTTGGCAATCTACTTCCACAGTGATACTGCCTCGGAAACCCAAGGAGGGGTTGCTGTGGGTCAGGGCCAACTTGACTGCACATAACAAAATCTTTAGGAAAGTAGATGGCTCAGTCTTCCATGGAGTGGCTGGTGGGTTTGAACCACCAACCTTCTAGTTAGCAGTCAATTGCCTTAGGCACTATGCCACCAGAGCCCCTTCAATAAATAAAAGGGCAACCTTTATTTCTTACAGTTATGGCTCCAAAGCCCCCCAGAGTGATAGATGGCAGGCTACAGATTTCCTGCTGGGTACTCACAAATGGGAAGGCAGATCTTAAAAGTTGCTAAAAAGTGGAAGCAAAAATGGCATACTATTCAAAAGCCCAACACGAGGACATCCCTAGCTTGCTAGTCACAATCCAGTAGCTTCACTTTTTGTTTAAACATTTAAGCAACATTTCCAGTTCAATGTACTTAATATTTATGATACAGTATGGAAGCATAAGCTGTGATGTTCCGGTGGCTGAAGCATTTGGCTGCTAACCACAAAGGTCAGGAGTTCAAACCTACCAGCCAGCCACCTGGTGGAGAAAGATGAAGCAGTCTAAAGAAGTACAACATTGGAAACCCTATGGGACCATTTTACTGTGTCATACAGGGTCATCAAGTTGGAATAGACAGCAATGGGTTATGGAAACTTAGCTTTTAAAACAGTACCTGGGTGTGCATGTTGGCATATTTGTAAGATGTAACCTGTGGCTGTCTGGATTTACTAGGTGATACATTTAAGGGACAGAATCTTGTATAAAAGTACAATAATTTTTTTCACCAGGACTTCATCTTTTTTCTTGTAGCTGTATAATCAAGGCCTGGTGTAGGTGGAAAGAAATTCTAGTCTCCTCAGTATGACCCTGAGGGTGCTGCATAGAGGTTTGGGTGGTTTGAATCAAGTGATCTTGCACTATATTGCTTGGACAAAAATAGAAAAAAATCTATATGACAAAGTCGCTTGAAAACCTGCAGCTAGAATGCCTTTGGTATAGTAATCTGGTTGTGGTAACTAGGAACAAGGACTGGTCAGCAGAGGTCACTGAATAAATTATATACAAGCTACTTAGGTTCTAGACACTGCTTTACTTGGGTGAAGGTGCACCAAGCTCTATATGAATATATTAAGTCTGTCACACTGTATACCTAGTGTCTGTAGACAGCAGGTACTCAGAACATTTAATGAAAACATTCATATAAACATGTATTTATGTAGGGAACTTACTTCGACCCCTTGTTGATCTGAAGATACGAAGTTAATAGTACTACAATTACAGTGCCAAAGGATTGAGTATGGAAAAGGAAGGTCAATAGTGATTAAAGATTACTTTTTGCTCAGATGTGTCCAACTCTTGTTACTATGAAAGTATTTAAGACATGAAATGCTGTAATTAAACTTAACTGTGTCTATGTAAATATACATGGTAACAATATAAAATATTTCAATGACCAAATAACTATACAAAAAATAAACAAATTAACTTTATTAAGTTATCTTTTAGTCCTGACATTGATTTGTTTAAAATAGTTTGAAATACATTACTGAAAATGAGTACACATAATAAATACAAAATAGGGATGCATAGTGCTGGAGACATCAACAGTGTTACCTACTGTTTTAGAAAAAAATTTGACACAATTAGCATTAATGGAAAAGCAGCCAAAGTACGTGGGAGAGGGCTGCAAACTACTAGAAAAGTAGCTTAAAGCTTTGGACCACTCACCAAGAGAAATACTCACTGTTTACCTGGGCACTAACTTCACTACAGCACTGAATTCTCTACTACCTGCCATTCATAACAATTTGGAAATACCAAAAGTGCCCAGTAACCTTCCATTAAATTATTTTTAAATCAAAGTTTTAACTTTAAATATCTGATGATTACTCAAATATCCTAAGCCACGAGGCAGGCCTTAAAACAATAAGTTACAAATACTCTGAATTTAATAACTTAAACATGGTATGGTTACTATAAACCACAGAGCATGAGTATTTCCACTAACCTTTCAGGTAGGTAATAATTAAAAAGTTTAAGCTTACAGTTTCAATTTCTGCTCAGAAGTGTGATGTCAAGCAATAGTGGTGACATCCCATTACTGTAAATGCAGAACATGCTAATGTACATAATACTTGGAATTATATTTGATTGAAGAAATAATTATATGTACACGTTCCACATTCTTTTCAACGGTGCAGATTTATGATCAAAGCTGGGTTAAACAAGTGCTTTCTGACTTCTGAAAGCAAATGATGAAAGCACTTCTAAAAGTGAGTAATTAGTTATAAATAGTGACCCCAGTTCATTCTTCCTTTTATGTGTGATGAACTTCATGAAGCATTAATTCTCGAGGTATATTTGTTTCTTTACCATACAGCTTACATGCTCTTCTTTCAAAGGCAGCTACCATCTGCTTTACAACTTCATCAAAAAACAGCGTGGCAAGCTGAGAGTGTAGAAGTGAGCGAAATTCAAATGACACCTGTAGAAACACGTTAATTAATTTAGGAAGATCTTTTACTGCATTCTCCACTTAGGACAGTGGTACTCATACTGTGAACCGGGCTAGCTGGCAGGTATCTATGGTAGAACCGTGGACATGTTTAGATGAGGTTTTCAGTATTCTCAGAAGAGGAAGTCACTGCAGTAAGGACAACTGCTGACAGAAATAAGCAAACGAAGCTGAAGCCTTCTTAGCAAGTTAGAGAAAGGCAGAAAAAAAATTTGCTGAATATCATACTTAACACTCTGGCTTCTTATTAACGTGCCTCTTTTATACCCACCCAACCCCCAAAAGTGAAAAAGAAAAGGGACTAATCCTTCTGATGGGTCATCATGCCCCTGAGTAGTAGCAGGAAGAAGATGAGATCAAATGTGTGCACGCACACTTCTGCCTGATCCTTAAAACAGATGGGGTAGGTAGTTCTACCTTAAAGCAGTCAATGCCTTAGAACTTAATTTATATCTTCTCATTGTTGCCAAAAAATTCAAGGCAGCTTGTTTAAGAATTAGTATTTTAAAGATCAAATAATCTGCTAATTAAAAAAAAAATTTAATTTTGCAATTTGAAATTTAAAAGAGTTGCTAAATAGTACAAAGAATTCCCATGCCATCACTCAGACTCCCCTATATTAACATACTAAAAAAACAAACCAAAACCCATTGTCATCGAGTTGATTCTGACTCATCACAGCCTCCACTGGGTTTCCAAGGCAGTTAACCTTCATGGAAGTAGACTGCCCCATCTTCCTTCTGTGGATGGATTAGAACTGGCAGCCTTTTGGTTAGCAGTCAAATGCCTTAGGCACTGTGCCACCAGAGCTCCTAACATCTTATATAACCACAGTAAAATGATGAAAATCAGGAAATTAACAGAAGAAGTTAATACTACTTTTAAGTTCTTTTAATTCTGATTCTCGGGAGCCCTGGTGGTACAATGGTTACGTGCTAGGCTGTTAACTGAAAGGTTAGTGGTACAAACTCACAAGCCACCCTGTGGGAGAAATGTCACAGTCAGCTTCCGTAAAGATTGTACCCTTGGAAACTCTGAAGCAGTTTTACTCTCTCCTATAGGGTGGCTATGAATCAGAACTGACAGCACACAAGAATTCTGACTCCTAGAGGTATATTGAAGATAGTTCAGACCTGCAGATTCTGGGTGGACCAAAATATCATGCTCTTATTTATATATTAACATATCTACTCACTTAACGACTATCTTGTTATCCAACATTTCACATTTACGACCAAAAAGAAAAGTACTATCTGACTGTTTTAAGCATTAAAACATAAGTATGGATATAATGAATGGACCAGGTGCAAGGTTAGCTATGATGGTTAAAGTTATGTGATTTTCACTGGCTTGACAGTTATGTAATGATGTAATTTGGCAGTTATGTAATGATGTGGCACTCCATTTTTGGATAATGTCTAGTTTTGAATAATATCAATTTTGGCATAACAACTTGGTCTCTGGAGCCTAACTATGTCAGTAAGTGAGAAGTGGGTATATAATAATGCTATTATCTAATCTATAGAACTTATTCAAACTTTCCCAATTGTCCCATTAGTGTCCACTAATTTTTTAATGAAACAAACTCGTGTTAAGAAGACTATATAGTAATTTAATCAAAATTAGGACTATTTCTTTAAAATTTAATGCCTGAATTGCAAATATAGAGAACCCATGGGAGCTAACCAGAAGGCTGGTGGTTCAAACCTACCAGCCACTCCTTGGAAGGAAGGTGGGGCAATCTACTTCCGTAGTGATACTGCCTCAGAAACCCAGAGGGGTCGCTATGAGTCGGGTCCAACTCGACGGCACATAACAACAACAACAACAATGTAGTAGTATCTGTCAGCAAAGAAAATGACACAAGTGGTTTTAAGTTTTCTGTAAAGTAATGTGAATAAGTAAATTAACATAGTCTTCAAATCCTAAAACCATATTTCTCCCCTTTTCATGTAATTAATTTCTGCATCTTGTAATGAAAGTAAAGATTTAATTTGGTGTCATTACACTGGTATTAAGGTTAAAAATTTTTATTAAGCTGTTAGTAAAAGTGATGGATTGTATCTTAAGATCTCTGGACTTACAAAATTTAGAAAACAGAAATGTGAACATTCAAGAGTACAAGAAATAAAATAGAAAAAAAAGTTCATCAGCATTCTTTCCTATAAAGTTAGTGGAGAAAAGGGTAATTCAATACTGAGAAATGTGAAATGTTTTAAAAATCTGTTTTAGTAATCTCTGTTGTTATGTGCCGTTGAGTGAGACCCAACTCATAGCGACCCCTCCTTGGGTTTCCGAGGCGGTGTCACTACGGAAGTAGATTGCCTAACCTTTCTTCCAAGGAGTGGCTGGTGGGTTTGAACCCCCAGCCTTCTGGTTAGCAGTCAAGTGCCTTAGGCACTATGCTACCAGAGCTAATATCTATGCGTATAAAATTAATCATGCCATTTGCATTCTATTAAGTGGATTATTCCTTCTGCACTGGATATTTGGGATAAATCAAGGACTCTATGAGAAACTTACTGAAAAATCCAAAGTACAAGTTCTTGGGTAGCCAGGAAGACCCGGGCTAAAACGCCAAATAGTCTCCAAATGATTGAAAAGCCTCCCATCTGTACAGGATGCCTAGAACAAAATTAAAAAAAAATAAAACTACAGTAAAATACCACTTGGCATTGGGTAGAATCTACTATGATTGAGATGGATTTCTTTGAAAAGCAAACAATTTTTATAGGTTGAGCTCAGGTGATAAAGCCACTTAATTTTTAAGCTTGGTACTAGGAAGTAATCTCAATGCCATTAAAAGCCTTTTTTCTTTTCTCCTGGGATCCCTAACATTAGCATTGTTCTCTTTTCCACTGTTACTATCCATTGTGCTGCTTAACTCTCTCTTCTCCAGGAACAAAACAAGGAGTGATTTTCTGGCAGCTTATTGCTGTTTAAATGAATTTTTCTAGCTCTGCCACTTACAATTTGATCCTAAACAAGTTAATTCCCTGTACCATATTTCCTTAATCTGTAAAATGAATATAAAGCCTGTCATAGCATCACTATGAGATGACTAAAAAATCTGTAAAGTACCTGGCATAGGTCCCTAGGATAATTCTGTAATTCTCCCTTATATACAAGATTTTCTCTTGTTAAATCACATTTAATCTTTCTTATACTCTTCATTACCAGAGGCCTCTACAGTTCTAGTTTTCCTTTAAATATGACCCAATCCTGGGCTCTGACCCATTTTTTTCTTATCTATTCAGAGCCAATGTATATTTTATATGTGTGTTTTCACACTGAAACACAACAGTATGTTTCAGTATGCCTTCTCTCAGTAGCAGACCAATTTTTAAATTCCTGTTTCAAAGTCTACACTCTTTCCCCAATTAAGTCTTAACTTTCCAGGTCTTTTGGCATATCCTGAGGCCAATAAGTGATCAAGCCCCTCTACCCTCCTTTTCTCTGATAACTTATTTCCCTCAAGAATTTAGACTGTTCCTTCCCTAAGATTAAAATCCCTATGGGTATAAATTAGAAAAATAATGACAAGTATAAAAAATAAACCAAACTCACTGCCATCCAGTCAATTTCGACTCACAGCGACCACCTTTGGGTATCTGTAATTTTTTATAGAAGTAGATTGCCCAGTATTCCTTCCCCGGAGTGGCTGGTGGGTTTGAACCACCAACCTTCTAGTTAGCAGTCAAATGCCTCAGGTACTATGCCATCAGAGCTCCTTTAACAACCATATAGGTAACTATTTTCCCCCAAAGTAAACTAAGTCACTCTTTCTTCCCCAGTTATAGCTTCCATAAGCACAAAACCTAAGACAATCTGTGGCAAGATCCAGAATTTAGCCAGAGAGATGAAGTCTAACTAGGAGTCAAATAACTAAAAATCCATTAATAGTTTTAGTCCTAATTTTCTCTTGATCTAAACCCTTCTGAATTACTTATGGCACAGTATTATAAAGAACCACCACCATCTGTTAATTTGTCCTACAGTGGTGGCCTGCATGTTGCTATGATGCTAGAAGCTATGTCACTAGTATTTCAAATACCAGTAGAGTCATCTATGGTGGACAGGATTCAGTGGGGCTTCCAGACTAAGACAGACTAGAAAGTCCTGGTGATCAACTTCCAAAAATTAATCAATGAAAAACTCTTTTGCTCACAACAGCTTGTCTGAAACAGTGCTAGAAGATGAGACCTAGGCTGGAAGGCATTACACAACGGCTGCAAGAATGCATTCACACATGGTAACAATCAGGAAGAGGGTGCAGGACCAAGTAACATGTCATTATATTGGACGTAGGATCACCATGCGTTGGACCTCACTCAATGTTAACATTTTAAAAAAGATCAGCTGTACCCAAACTAAAATGTACTTACAAAACTATGCTCTACTTGGACATTTTATATTAAAAAAAAAAATTTAATTTCTGTAATAGAAATGAGTGAATGTTTAATAATAACTTAGATGAATAATTCAGATGATACAGAAGCTTCCGTAAGTGGAGTTATTACCACAACTGACCACAACTGATAAAACGCCAACATTACCCAACTCTTCATCATCAGAGTAAATTTTTATGATTTGTGTATGTTTTTATGTATATACATATGTATGAAAATATACCCATTAGTTTATACATAATGTCTCTAATCCCCAAAGACAAAGATCAGATGTATAAAGATACTATCAATAAAAGGAAGTAATAATGGGGAAAAAAAAAAAAAAAGGTATTCGATTACATCTGAACTGACTTATGATGGAGTCATCAGAATGGAACCTGTCATAAATCAGGGACTACTTGTGTAGAAGTGTGACCTTCATAAGCAAGGAACGTTCTTGATTCCACTACTGTAATACTGGCAGTACTAGTGATAGAGACACAGGGATAAAAAAAGGGCCCCTCCATCCAAGGGGCTCAGGCTTGTCAAGAAGTCTAGCTGAATAAATAAATTATAATAGAATGATAAGAAAAGTAAACATAGCAGTATAAAGCCCAGAAGAATCACAGAAGTAAGCATGATTATCTGTATGAATGGAAAAAGAAAGAGATGTGAGATAGCTAGATACTAAAGGATTAATAAACAAGGTGTTAAGTGTATTACAAGTAGAAGAGGGAACAATTTACAAAGGCATAGACTGTGGAACAAACACAGTGCAGTATGTTTAAAGAACTGATATGGTATGGCCTGAATATGAAGTGTACAGTGGGGGAGGGGGCACAGGAAGAGAACAGGCATATCCTGGAGATATTGCGGGCTTGGTTCCAGATTACTGCAGTAAAGTGAATGTGGCAATAAAGTGAGTCACACAGTCATTTTAGTTTCCCAGCATATAAATGTGGTGTTTACACTACACTGTAGTCTATTAGCTATGCAACAGCACTATGAAAAAGTTTGAAATACTGTGAGAATTGCCAAAATGTGACACAGAGACATGAAGTGAGCATATGCTGTTGAGAAAATGGCAATATTTGAGAAGCTCAATAAAACAAACTACAATAAAATGAGATATGCTTGTATATGGTCTGTGGGCAATGTTAGAGTTTGACTTTATCCTGTATGTTTTGAGAAGCCAGGGAAGAGAAGAAATTAGAGAAGAAAAATGAGATTTTTGAGAGTTCCAAATAAAAGCAGCATGGTATACTGAGATTAAAAGTATATGAGTGTTCTGGTTATCCGGTGCCACTCTAACAGAAAATACCACAAATGGGATGGCTTGAACAAACAGGAGTTTATTCTCTTACAGTTTGGAGGCTTTAAGTCCAAGTTCAAAGTGCAGGCTCTGGGGGCTGGGTGAAAGCCCCTCCTTCAACCCTGGGCTTTAGCTCTGCCTCCTGTTCCTGGCCCAATGGAGCTAAAGACTTTTCTATACTCAGACAGCTGCTGGCTGCTGAGACTGACAAGCCCAAGGTTGACAAAAAAGGCACAGTTCTGATGTTACCAAACCACACGGCAGGCCATTAACTCAAGTCCATTGAAAGTCTCAAGGTCAGCAGAGCATGACAGCTGCTGAACAATGACACGGCTACATTCAGGGTTCAAGCATGCCAAAAACTAGAGATCATTCCCAAAGCTGTTTCTTATATAGAGGAAGCAGACCACATACCCAAAGCAGCTACACAGCTGCTCCAACAGACTCCACCATGGAGCTGATTTCCAGTCTTATCATGGGGAATACTATATCCAGATACCCAGCCTCTCAACCAGGCCCAGCCAAGTCGACACATAAACATGACCACCACAATAAGCTTCATTGATAAGAGATTGAGGTAAGAGAATAAAAAATAAGAATTTAAGATTATAGAAATAGAGAGTCCTGGTAAGATGGCAGAATAGGAAGAAAGAGGGCACAGACCCTCTTCAACAAAGAAAAGGGGAACCAATTAACACAGATACAGAAGATAATCCTGGACCCCTGAGCCTTGAAGGGAAGAATATAGAAGTGGACTAAATTCCAACTAGCAGAAGAATTTGCATGAAAAACCAAAAAAGGAGACATACGGAGCTGCGGTCTGGCAGTGATCCTGATGGCACATACAGCTTGGATATTGCCGAGTGGTGGGAGGACCTAAGAAGTAACCTAAAAATCAGCCCTGCTAGCCAGGGGCTGCACAGAGGACTGCTCTGGTGGCTGGGGAATAAAAGGGGAGGGAGCGAAGAGGATGGTGGCGGGCTGAGCTGTGGACTTCTGTTTGTCCAGAGGGTGTAGCCATTTTGAATGTTTACAAATGGTTTGACCATTTTGGATATTTAAAGTGATAGTATTCTCCCAGATTCCAGGGGCTTAAGAAGAGGCTCCACTTGTCTGCCAGTAACCCCAAGGGCATTCCAGACCTGGATGACTGGAAAGGTGCAACGTTCGCCTTGTTACTCTTATATCCCTCCTGGTGAACGGAAGTGCAGCCATCCCTCACTCCCACCCACCTTCTGGGCCCACAGGAACTCCATCCCAGTCTGTGTGCTCTGACAGAGCCTGGGTGCCCTGCCCTGCCCTCCCCCAATTTTTTTTTCCCTTTCTTTTGTCTGTTTTTCAGTTTACTTGTTCTTGTCTGTTTTAAAACTACTATTATTATTATTGGGAGCTCTGGTAGCATAGTGGCTAAGACACTTGCCTGCTAACCAGACGGCTGGCGGTTCAAACCCACTAGCCACTCCTTGGAAGGAAGGTTGGGCAATCCT